CGATCAGCGACCTCCTTGCTGTGCGGGTGCTCAGGGGGACTCCTCCCCAGCCTCCCGGGAGGGGAGCAGCGGGAACAGGGGGGCGTCCTGGAGGTGTGAAGGTGGCGTCTGGGGGCCGCTCCACCCAGGCCCTGCAGGGGCTGAGGGCTGAGGCCTGGGCGTGGGCGGCACCCCGCGCTGGCCCCGGGCCCGTCCCTCAGGGGTCCATCCCGGGACTTTGCGCCCTTCCTTCTGGGAGTCCTAGGTCGCAGGTGCCGGGTGGGTGGAGACGCCTCTGAAGCGCTCTGGTTGGCTGTGTCAGGCTCCCACATCCCGGGAGCATGGGCCCCAGGTGAGGCTGAGAGGGGCTGTCTGCTGTCCCTGGGAAAGCTGAAGTCACGAGGCAGAAAGGGCCGCGGACCACGGGAGACAACTGGGCCCTGCGGCTGCCCCTCCCCAGAGACGCCCTCACCCGCTGCTGTTTGGGAAGAGGCAGGAAAAGTCCCTGGGTTCCCACCCACATTCAAGTTGTCTGATGTCAGCATCCATTTCTTTATGAAAGTATTATTTGTTGTTCTTTGTTTTTCTTGTAATAAATCAACCTGGAAACATTTTTGACCCTTTTGAGTGTTATCTCTCCTTATATATTCTTATTTAAGATTTTTTTGTTTCTAAATAAAGATCAAATCGGTTCGTTATATATTTTCCCAAGAATTTGTACCTCAACACATAAAAACATGGCTTTAACTGGGCCTGGTGCAGCGATTTAATTTCAGTACTAAGGCTGAGAGAAGAGGATCACAAATTCAAGCCCATGCCATGCAATTTAGCAAGGTCTCATCTCAAAATAAAAGGCACTGATGGTCCTAGTTTCATTTCCAAGTATCCACCCCCAAAAACAAAAATCTTCAACACATCACTGATATTTTCCTCATTTTCTAAACACACATTGCCAAAATCAGTTACCATTTTTTTTTTCATTCTTCAAGGATCTACTGATATGACAGGTGTAAACCAAATATTGAGGACCTCCACTTGTACAATGCACAGAGTGCAAGTTAAAAGTGGGGTCACCAGCTCCCACGACAGCCCCTGCCCTTACCCTGTAGCATTCCCATTGGTGCTGGACCTCAGTGACTCCTGATCCTTCGCGAAAGCTGTTGCCATAGTAAGCAAATCTCCCACATTTGTTTTCTTTGTGTAATCAGCCTTACCATTTTGATTTCCTGAAAACATCTCTTTGGAAGTTGCACTGTAAATTATAAGACAGTGTATCTTTGACTTGGACCTTTCTGATATTTGGAATTCTCGTCTCCCTCAAGATCTTCCTCACACTTTTACTCCTATTACCAGTGGAGATGTCATATTTACCTTGAGAACTGTCACCGCAGGGACCGCGGTATTGATCATGCCCAAAGCAGGCTGTAAGCAGTGCAGTCTATGAACAGGGAACCCCACAATGGCTTGTTTTGAGAAGCAAGTCCAGCTGAAGCCTACATGCTGAGGTCAGAGTAACTTGCACCCAAATTCTGTTCCCACAGCTAAAACCTTCAGATTAGAGGAACAATGTTCTAATTACAACTGTATATTTTGTCTACGCTGTTCCTAATTCAAGAATGCTTTGTCTTGTCCTTTGTGAGCCTTGTTTACATTAATTTCCATAGAAACCACACAACTGCACATCCTTGCACATAGTTCTGCACTTGCATGGAGCTCACCTTTACCCCAATTGATGTCCAGTATAAATCAGTGCCTGGGACTAGCCAGGGCTTTTGGCAGCTGCACTGACACTGGTCATCTTGGCGCCCCACTTTCTGTCTCTCTGAGTTCTGTCTTAGTTTATTTTCCCTCAGGCCTGTGCCACACAGCAAGCAGGAGACTGGAGCCAGCTGCAGAGGTTTCCAGTAACTTTCAGGGGTCCCCGGTAGTCACTCCTTTAGGAACCATTCTTCACTTCTTCCCCTCCCTCACATTTACTGAGGGATACCTGACAAGTCAAGTTACATATGTTTACAATGCAGAATATCTTTCAAAGACACTGCAGAATAATTATCACAATCACATCTTTAAGATGTCTGTCACCTCACAGTCATCATATTTTAAATTTTTATGGTAATATCATTTACAGTTTCCTCCAGCAAATTGGAGTATACAGTATAACATTATCAATGATAGTCACTGGGTGGAAGTAGACTTCCAGGCCTTTCTGTTTAAGGTTGAATAAAATTCGTGTGTGAGTGTGTGTGTGTGTGTGTGTCTGTGTGTGATATTTCCTTCTTTCATCAGTGGATACTTAGGAGCAGTACTGGAAAATGTGGTAGCTCAATTTTTAGATTTTGGAAATCCTTTGCCTTATTTTCATAAATTTATACTAGTTTAACCTTTCATGTAGAGAGCACAAGGGTTTCTTTGCTCCACTTCCTTGCCAATGCTTCTTTTTGTTAATCAGTACTCACATAAGTGTGAGGTGATCTGGAATTGTAATTTTGGCTTGCATTTCCCTGATTTTTATTACTGGTGGAAATGTTCAAGTATTTCTTGTCTTTTGTTTTTTTTTTTTTTTTTGAGAAATGTGTTTTCACATCTTTTCCCCATTTTTGATTTGGTTATTTGTACTCTTACTATTGAGTTGAGTTCCTTATATATTTTGAATATTAATTCCTTAAAAATGGATGGTTTGCAAATAACTTCTCTCATTCTATTATATGACCTCTTCACTCTGTTTACTGTTTCCTTTGCTGTTTTGAAAATCTTTAGTTTGATGCTGTAAAGTTTGCCTATTTTTTTGCTTTTTTGGCCCATAATTTTGCAATTAAATCTAGATCACTGGCATGGAATCTATAGAGCATTTTAGGTACTATGGATGTTTTTAAACAATAATCCCTCCAATGCATGTACATGGAAGTCTTCATATTTTTGTATATTTTTCAGTTTCTTTTATTGTCATAATTTTTATGTTGTCCTTCAACACCTTTGTTAAATTTATGTTAAATTTATGATTTCTTTCTGAGTTTATTTTTCCAAATACTTTGTTGTTAGCATAATAAATATAACTGACTTTGATATGTGGATTTTGTATCCTGCAAATTTACTGAATTCATTTGTTAGTTCTGATAGTTTTTTTTTCACAGAGCCTTCACAGTATTTTATATCTTATGATTATGCTATCATCAAACATAAATATTTTTATTTCTTCAATTCCAATGTGGATGCCGTTTACTTCTCTTTTTTGCCCATTTCGCTGGACTTAGATTTCAAATAATGTTGAATGGATTGGGCAATGCCGAGACCCTCCTATTCTTCCTGACCGTATGGGTCAAAATCCCTGACATACACCACTCAAAGGTTTATGGATCCAAGGTTTGGTCTGGGGATGACTCGATCTGGGGCGGAAACTCCATGGTGGGAGGATATGGCAGAACAAACAGCTGAACTCATGGCACCTGGGAAGCAGAGGGCTTGGGAAAAGTCAAGGAGAGAGGAAAGGGCTGGAGCAGAGCACACCTTTCAAAGGTGCCCCACCAACCTCTCTCTCCACCAGGTCCCCACCTGCTGTAAGTCACACCTTGAGCTCATCCTTGGGTCAGCCCCTTGGTGAGGATGTGCCCTGCTGGTTGCCATCACCTCTCTGGGCTTCTCTGAGCACTGCCGCATGGACCAAGCCCTCCAGTTGAGTCTGTGGGGGCGTGTCACTGAAAACAGCCCTAGTTTTGAAGGACCTGCTTTTAGCTTTTTCATCGTATGAAACGATGTTTCAAACTATGTTTGTGTTGAAATGTGTTGCCTCCTGCTTGTTGGGTTGATAGTGTACTTTTCTATTTGTGCATACCTATGTTACTGATTTTGGTATTTTGATTTTTGTTTCCTGAGAATTTGCTGAATTAATTTATTAGTGCTCATAATTTTGGGGCAATGTACATGTTCATTTCTTTTATTGCTATAGCTGGGATTTCTAGAACTAAGTTCAAGTGGAGAAAATGAGCAAACTTGACTTGTTCCAGACACTATACAGAAAGTGTTTCGCTTTATGTCCCTCACTGTAAAGTTAGCATTGGTATCATAAATAGCCATGCATGTGTGAATACGTGTATGAATGCATGTCTGGCTCATATGTGTTTTTACTATGTTTATATATGTTGCTTCTCTACCTGATTTGCTCAGCATTTTTGTTACGAGGACAGTGAATTTTATCTTTTTCTAATCTGTAGAGACAACGATCTGCCTTTTGCCTGTCACTCTGTTGAAGTACCATCAAGTTCACTGATTCGCACATATGTAATGATCCTGGCTTTTGTTTGATGAATTCCGCTTGATTTCAGTGAATCACATTTATAATGTTTTGTTGGGTTCAGTTTACTAGTTTTCCTGGGGGGTATTAATATGTCCATCACCAATATTGGCTCTTTCTGTGTTTATCTGGTTTTGATATTAGGATAAAACTGTTGGCCAAGTAGCATGTTTGGAAGAATTTATTCCTCTTCTATTTTGGGGAATAACATTTAGAATTGGTGTTAATTCTTTAAGTGTTTGATACAATTCGCCACTGAAGCTTTCAAGTCCTGAGCTTTGCTTTGGGAGGTGGCCTCTTCTTCAATCTTGCTCCAGGCTCTTGGTCTGCTGAGGTTTTCTATTTCTTGAAGATTGAGTCTTGGTAAGGTCAATTTATTTGGGAATTTGTTGATTTCTTTGAGGTTATCAAATTTGTTGGCATACAGTTGTTTATAATATTTAACACCTAATGGTCCTTTGAATTTCTGTGGTGTCAGTATTTACCTTTTTATAGCAGATTGTTATGAGTTTTCTGTCCTTTTATTAGGTAAGAGAAGGATACCATTGGCTAGACACCTTTATTTATAATTTTCATGACATGGTTCTTTATTTCATAGATATTATATAATTTTTCCTAACTTTCCATTTCTTTCATTTTTATTCTGTTCTTCATTACTACTTTCTGTCTACTAATTTTGGGTTTGGTTTGCACTTGTTTTTGTATGTGATTCGGGGCATTGACATGAGCAGTTTTTTCTTTTTTCTTTCCAAAATCCAAAAACTCAGTAACTAAAAGTAAAAGTTGATACATTGAATCACATGAGCATTTTAATTAATAACACTAGGTGTGAAATACTATATTGTTTTGACTAAAATGTAATTAATAGACTGTGTAAGTTCCCAAAAAGGTGGGGGATTGGCCTGTTTTGTTCTGTGTCTGACACACTTGTGCAGTCTGAGGTCTCTTCTGAAGTGGAAAGGTGAGGCTGTGCCTTACAGTGACAGGCAGAGTCTCCTTGCGGCTGTGTGTAGGGACCATCAGCACTGATCCCTTGAGCTTGATGTAATGCATCCGGACAATCATCACCTGAAAGTTGCAGCAGCATGCATGCGGGATAACAGCCAGAGATAAAACCCACTTTTCCTGATTTTAGGGGATGAAATTCTCTAATCTGTATGGATATTCTTTCTGGTTCCAGTATATTTTGAAAGTAACAAATAGATGGAATGTGTATCCTAAGAGGTTTGCTAGGTATCACTTGGAAACAGCCCATCATTGGGAGCTGGTCGGCTCTTATTTATCATTATTAGTTTGGAAATAGGAGAAGCACATTTGAAGCCTGGAAGTACAGCTCTTGATCTACCTATCATGTCTCTGCTATGGCTGAGAAAAAATGGAGGAAAAGATAAGATTTAAACGGAAGTCATTTTACCTCCCATTTAGGTTATGACTACTACTTCCAGGGACTCTCCCAGTGCGGTGGCAGCCTGGGTCTAAACAGGAGTATCAGGAAGGAACTGAGGTTGTGCTCAGGAGTGCCATGTTAGGTGCTGGCCCAGCACTAAGATGCTGAGCGGTGTCCACCCCAGGCCTTTTCTCCTACAAAGCTGTGTTTACCATGGCATTTGTCTATTCTGCACAGCTGTTTGCACACTTGCACATAAGTGTTTTTTCATATATGTTACATTGTATAGTTTATTTAGAAACTGAGAAGTATAAAAATAGAAAATAAGCAAATTAATTATATCTGTATAGATGAAGTAATTGGAAAATTAGCATTTTCTGTTTTTAGTGTATTGCAATGATTCTGTATTTTATTCATGTTCTAATTGAAAATAATCTATGAGATTTCATGTATATCTAAACTTTTATGCTTATCATTTTAACTGTACTGTATTTGAAAACTCTGTGGATGGGATAATTTTACTTTGTAACCTTTTTTTCACTTATTATTTCTTCAGTTTGTCTCTTTTTCTAGGTTTTTTTCATTTAAACATTGCCCCTTATTATTTTTCTTTCTTTTACATCCTTTAGCCTTATTTTAACCAGTAAAATCATTCAAAACTTGATGCTATGGCTATAGTTTTAGGAGAGGCAACAGGACTTGTTTCATAAATGTTAATGACTTTTGACTTTGGATGTTGACAAATGTCATAAGGGAGAGAAATTTCCAGCAACACAACCTCAGATCAATTTTGCATAGACACGTGTGTGGGCATGAATGTGCATATGCCTGCGGGTGTGTATGTGTTTGTATATATTTTTTGTGTATTTGTGCACAAGCACATATGTGTACATGTGTGTGCAATGGCATATGTACCTCTCTGCATATGAGATTGGAGGTTTGGTGATGCCAGTGAGTTCACAACTGAGCCTGAGACAGAGGTAAGTATCCGTGCTGAACTAGATTCCTACTGTACATTCCCAGTGCAGCAGGATCGCCAACATGGCTTCGTGGCTTTGGATTCAATGTGAGCACCAGTGTGAATCCGTTTTTAATCCAGGTGCTCTGATGTCCGAATGCCTTGAGAGAAAGGAGAGGAGGAACCACATGTCTAACCTGAAAGACTGGTTTGGTGACCTTTGATAGCCAGGCGGAGTTCTGGTGTGAGTGTCTGAGTCCACTAGTAATTTGCGAGCACATTCAACTGAACCTGAAATCCTGCTGATTTCTTACTTAGATCAGAATACTGATGTATAGAAAAGTAAAAACAAAACACATACATAAACTTTAAGCCTTCTTAAATCACCAAAGACATAAGAAAATGTATTCCATCACATGAGCATTTAACAAAATTTCTAATAGTTATATTCAAATGAATTCAAACTTGTCTGTATTCTGTTTTCAGAGTTCATGCTTTTAGTGGAGGAGACATGAAGCAGTAGTTTCATATTTATAAAAATCTTCACAATGAATCGTACATTTTAGTTATTGAAACAATCCTGAGTTGGCATTAATCTTTGAACAAAGAGTCTGAAGCCAGTTTCTTTAGCACTGAAAAATATTTACATAAATTTTCAGATTTGGTAACATAAATAATTTCCTGACATAAATACCACCATGTATACAGTATTCTATTGCTGTGTTTAAGGGAGCAAGTTACATGTTCGTAACCCAACCTACAGCTTTGTAAGATGTACCAGAGCATAGCCACTCAGCTCAAGCCACACTGAAACATTAGCCTATGACTTCACAGTTGCAGTAAGTGAAACTGGAGCATTACTTGTAAATCTGAATTTTAATGAAATCCAAAACAAGCTGGTAAACCCGTTTATAAAAACCATTTGGTTTGCTCTGGTAGAATATTTCATTTCTTGTGGGAAGTGATATATCTGTTTAAACCTCTGTGATCCTTACCCTCTTTGAGGACATTGGTGTAGGCAGATGCAAGTTAGTGTTCCTGCAAAAAGATGGTAACAAGGAGACCAACGACCCATCCGCCTAGATGCTCACAGTCAAGTCGTCCTTCACCGGATTGTGAGCCACTGGATTCTGGGCCATTGGATTGTGAGCCAGTGGATTCTGGGCCGCTGGATTCTGTGCTGCTGGATTCTGGGCTGCTGGATATAGCAGTGTTTGTGGTGAGAGGATTCCTGAGACATTTTGGGACCGGGGGCTGCCACGTACTGTCAGCCTCACAGATGACTGTGTCACTTCCGTGAAGGAAGAAGCCCTGATCGCACTCAAACATGACTGTGGCTTTGTAGTAATGCTTCACCCCAAATCCTGACGTCTGGCGTCCGTGGGGCAGTGCAGGAAATGGGCACTTGACCATCTTACACTCAGGAGGGACATCACTCCATACGTCTCCACCGACACAATGAAGTGTGGCCTTTCCAATGAGTGAAAATTGATCGGGTCCAGAAATTCTTTTACAGGTGTACGTCACAACTTGCAGGTGCTGAAACACGTCCTCACTGGGACTGTAGTCTCCATTTGTTATCTTCGGAGGAGGTTCACACAAAATCTTCTCACACAATGGGGCTTCGTTGCTCCAATGCACATTGGATCCACTAAGCAGACAGTGCAGAATTTTATCTCCGATTAAGTAAAAACCATTATTGCAAACAAATTCAATTTGTGTCCCAAACTCATAGCTTCCATTCAGGAGGTTCACTTGTCCGTTGAGTGGGTCAGTGGGGGTTGGACATGATTTTTTATAACACGCATCGTTTGACAGAGGCAGCCAATTATCATTCGCACCACAAAGAGTGAAGGTGGATTCGGAAGGCCTGCGGGCGAACCCTGGTTTGCACTGATAGTCTATCCGGTCCCCGACATCATACACGGACTTGGCCGGGCCGACCAGCTCCATGTTGGGGTACGTCGGGGGCTCACCGCAGACGGCAGAGCTCGGAGAAGGCAGGACGCCCAGGCCCACCAGCAGGAGCCCCAGGAGGC